CCTAAGATTGTTATGCTTCACACTAACATCACATATAATTAAAGACTCGCTCTAATCATTCAGCAGTCTGGTACTCAATTTCCTTACTCAGTTTCAAAGTCTCTAAAATACTTCAAAGATACTTACAGAACCCTACAGTCCTGCTCGTGTCTTCTTTGGTAACCCAGATAGTTATTCATTTGTATTCAATTTCTACTGACAACTTGTATACTCATAGGAGTACACCAAAGATTACGAGCCATATCGTAACAAGATGAGCCAAGCACACTGCTCAATTAGAAGTTGTCCAAAATTTTGGTAGTGAATTATTGCCAAGAGTGTTAACATTTTGTGTAGCTTTTTCATTCTTTTCATTTGTGAATCAACTTCTTGTCCATGCCCATGCATCCCTCCCACCTGATGCACTTGAAGCCTTCAAAATGAATGGCAGAAAGCAGTGCAAACAATGTGATACTGTAATTTCCCAGTCCAATCCTGCAGCATAACACCATGGTAAGGTCCAGAAAATGTCACTTGAAGATGATCAGCCAAAGAGAATGCAGTGAAAGTATCAAAAGCATGGATTCAATGTTGCACATACTTATTGCTGCATGGCTCATCTGCTGAGTTGACAGGATGACTTCAAAAATCAGCCCTCAATGAGGATATATGTATACAAGAATACTGTATACATGGATATATAAATACAAGAATATGTGTACAAACACTGAGTTTATCTAACACTCATTTAGTATTTATACAGATACATGTGTACATGGATACATGAATACAAGGGTACATGAATACATGAACACATGAATACAAGGATACTTGATACATGTATATGTGTAATGTGTATATGTGAATACAAGGATACATGTATGCATGGATACAAGGATACATGAATACAAGCATATGTGTATATGTAGATACAAGTATACAAGTATATGTGTATACATGGATACATGAATACAAGGATACACATATACATGGATACCTGATATATGTGGATACACATTCATGGATACAAGAATACACATATATGTGGATACATAAATACAAGAATAGCTAAGATGCAAGAGGTGTCAGATCCGCTGATCCTGGCTGTCAATGATGTGATGGGGAGGGTAGGGGAGCACTTTGCATGGTATGTTTGGTAGACAGCAGGCCAGCGGCATTTGCTTCCAAACTCACCAACATAACGCGAACATGCCTCCACTAAAGACACATCCTTCTCGACATACATGGTGCATTGATAATGTCAATAGTGTACTCCCCCAATCTTTCTTCTCTGCACATAGCCCTTCACTTTCAAATTCTCATCAATTGTTTACAACTTACAATTGACTTACAACAAAGAATATCAGCCTCTCAAGAAAATCGGAGGCGCTTCCAAGGGCACCTGTCAAACTCTTTCCTCATGATGCAATGAATTTGTCAATTATGGCCAGGAGTTGCATATGTATCTTCCGCTCAAGAAAAAGCCAGATGTAATTCAAATCACTTGGTATGTAACCATCCTATCTCACACACACTACAACAGATGTCTCGTCAACTTCCTTTAACTTTGTGTAATAGTTCTAATTGTAATGACTGTAACACCCCATTCAAACCACTCTTTCCAAATGTTATTGAGCTACCTTCTGAATAAATTAGATGTTTGTATGAAAGCTGCTGAGACACTGACATGTACAAGACGCTGACCATCATTGCCGCTGATGTGCCGACTTACGGAAATTGCCGCTTGTCACATTTGTGTAACAGCATAGACGGCTGTGATTGGTGGATCTGACACCTCTTGCTAAGATGCATGAATACAAGGATACATGTATACATAAATATAAGAATACATGTATACATAGTACAAGAATATCTGTATATATACATGTATCCATCATGGCACTTCTGGTGCAATATTGTAGATACTCAAAATGAAAGTAATACAGACATATGCTTGTATTTATGTAGCCATGTATACACCTATCCTTTTATTCATGTATCCACATATACCCATATTCTTGTATCCATGTATACATGTATCCTTGTATTCATGTATCCATATATGCATATTGTTGTACAGTCAAACCTCTCTTAACCCATACCCCTCAGTGGACAGCCTGAGCTATGGGTTATGGGCTAATAGAGGTATGGTTAAAAATAGATTCTAAAAATTGATGAGAAAAAATCGCACAAAATCATCAAAAAAATGTTGGAAATAGGTTGAAGTAGTTACAAGGCTGCCAGGAACACCTGCTGTGCTAGACTTACTCCCAATTCTTTTTACATAGATACTGTCTAATACCAACACCAAGCACAGCTTTAAAATTTCAGGCAAGTAGGATCAGCAGAAGTCATCAGAATTGATTTTGAGAACAAAATGTGTGTGCTTGGAAGACTATCACATTGACCAAAATCCCTCAGTGACATGGTTGTGACATACCTTTGGATATCTTGTTTTTTTGCCTCCTCATGTTGGCAATGATCTGAGGCTGCAACACATCTTCATGGTATCTGGTAGACTCAATGTAAGTTTTTTAGGCTGCACAATATGATGTTGAAGCTAGATCAAGGAAAAAGTCAAGAATCTGCATATCCTGACCAAATATAGTATCTCAATATTCTCACATGCAGCTCTTCTGATAGATTTCCATATCTGTGTGATTGGACATAGTGTCACAAGGCCTTTTCTAAGGGTGTCATGTGGGTTGGGAGGCATAGGGGGAATATTTTTGGGAGTAAAAGCTTCTTTTATTTAATTTTGAGCTACTTGACAAGCACATGCATATCTGTGCTTGGTAAACTAAATATTTAACAGCCAATTGAAGGGTCTGTCTGACAAAAAACCTATGGGTTTTGGCTGGGGAGGGGTATGGGGTATGGGGTATGGGGTATGGGAACTTGTTGGATGCAAAATGCTATGGGATAAGAGAGGTTATGGGTTCTCAGAGGGGATAAGAGAGGTTATGGGTTCTCAGAGGTATGGGATAAGAGAGGTTCAACTGTATTCATGTATCCACATAGCATATATGTGGATACAAGAATAACATAGATACATGAATACAAAGATACACATATACATGGATTCATCAATACAAGAATATGTGTATATGCAGATACAAGGATACAGGAATATGTGTATATGAATTAGTACAAAACAGCCAGAAGCGGTGTGCAAGGCATGAAAGGTGACAGTGGGGTAGTAGATAGCAAAGAAGAGGGGAAACATGAGCTATAAAAGTCATGCTCTAAAGAACCAATGCATTCTAATTTTATGTGTATGGGTCTAGGCCCCATTTCACTCAGTGCTTCATATTGTATCATTATAAAATTTTGCTCATATTTCACAGGTGACACAAAGCTCACATTGACTGCCAGATGCTCCTCAAATTAAATATCTTATATTTGAAGCTTGAAGGATGTTTCCTTCAATCAAATTTCTAAGCATGCTGTGGAACTCTTCTTGCTATCTAACCCATGACAAGCCTGATAACACTAACAAGGAGAATGATGATGCCATCAACGCAGAGCTACATTTGTGGATGGTTCCTTTATAGTCAACATGACAAGAAACCAGCATCTGCAGTGACTACCCCACTGACTGCATCTGAACCAGTGCCCAGTGTGTGTAGGAATATCTATGTCAATCACGCACTGTCTGCTATGGAGGCAGATCTCGATGGAGAGCCTAGGGAATGTTAATGCTATGGTGCAGAATTTTCTTGTATAGTTGTAAGTTTAAACTTCTCATAATGGGTAGACCTTGGACCCACGCCCACTTCATTCCCTTCCTTGCATGTTTCCTTGCATGTTTGTTGTTTTCTATGAAGCTGCTGACAGTCATCTATCAAAAAAAAAAGAGGTATTTTATTTGTTTTTCATTGTTTTGCCATCAAAAGGATATCATCAGAATTCTATCTGTGAGATATAGTGATGACTTGAAGCATCTTAAACATAAGAGTACAGTGTTCTGGCACTCCTTTGGACAGGCTAAGGACATTCCCGTTTTGTAATGGCCACACACCAAACTAATTCATTCTGACTTGACATTCCTGTTTACCAATACATCTTCTATGTAATTCCATATTTTCAGAATAAACAAAGCCTGGAACACTAATCTCTTCGATTGAAAAAGACAACACCAACAACAACCAACAACAACTTGTTTCATCAAGTCCATCCCTCATTCTATCTGGCATCCTCAATCAAATTTTCCACCCACCAACATCCCACCCATGTATTTACAAGATTGATATCATCTGAGAAGAGTCAGAAAGTCCCTCCCTGAATCCAAAGCACTTCCCCCTCCCCCTCCACTGGCCCCTCACCCCAATGCTCAAATTTGACCTCAACAACGCGTCCTCGCCATCCTTTGGCTCCAAGTTAGAGCATGAACTATCTGGATGTTCAACAACGCATGTGTGATTGAGGGAAACACACACCCCAAGCAGAGTTTTTATTGCTTCCACAATGTGACCTTCTGTTGTCTCAGAGAATCCATGAAA